ACCTCTTTAGGAATGATTACTTAGTGGTAATTTGTGTTTGAAAGCTTGGTTTTATTTTTCACATAATTGCAAATTAATTGCATTAAGTGTGAAATTGTTTTTCTGTGAGGCTTCTAAGTACTAAAGATTCAATATTTAATTATGTTAAGTGATTGAAACTTTGAGTTACTAAATTCCATGAATTTTTGTTGAACTTTTTTTATTTAATCATTTTTTAGTTGATTGGGTTGATAAAGTTTGAAACTTGTGATAGAAATTTGTTTATCTTCATATTGGAAGTTATAATTTTTCAAGGATTCACAAGCATTAAAGTTGATATCTATATTGAACTTATGTTCATTTTTCCAACTCCCTTTTATTTTGTCAAAAACTCAAGATTAGTTAAATTAATTAAATTAATAGTGAGGGCACTCTTATTTTTGTTGCACCAAGTTAAACAATTTATTAAATAATGGTTCATGAAATTAATTTTGGGTTTTATTGTGTTATTTGGACCAATACATTAAAGAAGGGAAAGATAGAAGTCCCTTAGGAAATATTAAAGCCTTTTTGGCTCTATACGCTCCCAAAAGTGAGTAAATGGTCACTTTTCATTGATTTCAATTCATAGCAACCAAAATATTAGTTAATTAAGGATGTTATGTGTTTTATTGTGTTAATTTGGACCAATACATGAAAGATGGAAAAGATAGAAGTCCTTTAGGCAACTTTAAAGCCTTTTTGGCTCTATACGCTCCCAAAAGTGAGTAAATTGTAACTTTTCTTTGGTTTCAATTCATAGAAACAAATATATAAGTTAATTAAGGGTGTTATGGGTTATATTGTGTTCATTTGGACCAATACATGAAAGATGGGAAATATAGAAGTCCCTTAGGCAATTTTAAAGCCTTTCTTGCTCTATACACTCCCAAAAGTTCGTAAATGGTCACTTTTCATTGATTTCAATTCATAGAAATTAAAATATATGTTAATTAAGGATGTTATGAATTTTATTGTGTTAATTTGGACCAATACTTGAAAGATTGGAAAGATAGAAGTCCCTTTGGCTATTTTAAAGGCTTTTTTGCTCTATACACTCCCAAATGTGATTAAATGGTTACTTTTCATTGATTTCAATTCATAGAAACAAAAATTTAGTTAATTGAGGTTGTTATGTGTTTTATTTTGTTAATTTGGACTAATACATGAAAGGTGGAAAAGATAGAAGTCCCTTAGGCAACTTTAAGGCCTTTTTGGCTATATACGTTCCCAAAAGAGACTAAATGGTCCTTTTCCATTGAATTCAATTCATAGAAACAAATTTTTTTTTAATTAAGGATGTTATGTGTTTTATTGAGTTAATTTTGACCAATACATGAAAGATGTAAATGATAGAAGTCCCTTAGGCAATTTTAAAGCCTTTTTCGCTCTATACGATCCCACAAGTTAGTAAATGGTCATTTTTCATTGATTTCAATTCATAGAAACGAAAATACAAGTTTATTTAGGATATTATGTGTTTTATTGTGTTAATTTGGACCAATACATGAAATATGGGAAAGACTGAAGTCCCTTATGAACCTTTAAAGCCTTTTTGGCTTTATAAGCTCCTAAAGGTGAGTAAATTGTCACTTTTAATTGATTTCAAGTCAAAGAAACCAATATATTAGTTAATTAAGGATATTATGTGTTTTATTGTGATTATTTGGACTAATACATGAAAGATGGGAAAGATAGAATTCCCATAGGCAATTTTAAAGCCTTTTTGGCTCAATCCGCTTCCAAAAGTTAGTAAATGGTCACTTTTCATTGATTTCAATTCATAAAAACCAAAAATATAAGATAATTAAGGATGTTATGTGTTTTATTGTGTTAATTTGGCCCAATACATGAAAGATGGGAAAGATAGAAGTCCCTATGGAAATTTTAAAGCCTTTTTGGCTCAATACGCTCCCAAAAGTGAGTAAATGGTCCATTTTCATTGATTTCAATTTATAAGAGCCAAAAAATAATTTAATTAAGGATATTATGTGTTTTAAAGTGTTAATTTTGACCAATACTTGAAAGATGGAAATGATAGAAGTCCCTTAGACAATATGATAACCTTTGTAGCTCTATACGCTCCCAAAAGATCGTAAACGGTCACTTTTCATTGATTTCAAATCATAGAAACCAAACTATAAGTTAATTGTAGATGTTATGTAATTTATTGTGTTAATTTGGACAAAACATGAAAGATGGGAAAGATAGAAGTCCCATAGGCAATTTTAAAGGATTTTTTGCTCTATACGCTCCCAAAAGTAAGTAAAAGGTCATTTTTCATCGATTTAAATTCATAGAAACCAAAATATAAGTTAATTAAGATGGAAAAGATAGAAGTCCCTTAGGCAATTTAAATGCCTTTTTGTCTCTATACTCTCCCAAAAGTGAGTAAATTGTCACTTTTCATTGCTTTCAATTCATAGAAACAAAATTTTAGTTAATTAAGGATGTTATCTGTTTAATTGTGTTAATTTGGACCAATACATGAAAGATGTGAAAGATAGAAGTTCCTTAGGAAACTTTAAAGCCTTTTTGGCTCTATACGCTCCCAAAAGTGAGTAAAATGGTCACTTTTCATAAATTTTAATTTATGAAAATCAAAATATACATTAACTAAGGATGTTATGTGTTTTAATGTGTTAATTTGGACCAATACATGAACGATGGGAAAGATAGAAGTGTCCTAGGAAACTTTTAAAGCCCTTTTAGCACTTTACGCTCCCAAAAGTGTGTAAGGTCACTTTTCATTGATTTCAATTCATAGAACCAAAATATAAGTTAATCAAGCATGTTATGTGTTTTATTGTGTTAATTTGGACCAAATACATAAAAGATGGGAAAGATACAAGACCCTTAGGGAATTTTAAAGCTTTTTTGGCTCTATACGTTCCCAAAAGTGAGTAAATCGTAACTTTTCATGGATTTTAATTGATAAAAACAAAAATATAAGTTAATTAAGGATGTTATGTGTTTTATTGTGTTTATTTAGACAATACAATAAAGATGGGAAAGATAGAAGTCCCATACGTAACTTTATACACTCCCAAAATGAGTAAATGGTCAGTTTTAATTGAATCCTTTTCACGGAAACCAAAATATAAGATAATTAAGGATTTTATGTTTTTAATTGTGTTAATTTTGTCCAATACATGATAGATGGGAAAGAGAGAAGTCTCTTAGGCAATTTTAAAGCCTTTTTAGCTCAATACGCTCCCAAAAGTACGTAAATTGTCACTATTCACTAATTTAAATTAATAAAAACCAAAACATAAGTTAATTAAGGATGTTATGTGTTTTAATGTGTTAATTTTGACCAATTTATGAAAGATGAGAAAGAAAGAATTCCCTTAGGCAATTTTAAAGCCTTTTTGGCTAAATACGCTCCTAAAAGTAAGTAAATGGTCATTTTTCATTGATTTCAACTCATAGAAACCAAAACATAAGTTAATTAAGGATTTATGTGTTTTAATGTGTTAATTTGGAGCAATACGTGAAAGATGGGAAAGATAGAAGTCCCTTAGGAAATTTTAAAGCTTTTTAAGCTCAATACGCTCCCAAAAGTAAGTAAATGGTAATTTTTTATTAATTTCAATTCATAGAAACCAAAATATATGTTTATTAAGGATATTATTTCAATTCATATAAACAAAATTTTAGTTAATTAACGTTGTTATGTGCTTTATTGTATTAATTTGGACCAATACATGAAAGATGGGAAAGATTGAAGTCCCTTAGGCAACTTTAAGGCGTTTTTGGCTCTATATGTTCCCAAAAGTGACTAAATGGTCACTTTTCATTGATTTCAATCCATAAAAACAAAATTTTTGTTAATTAAGGATGTTGTGATTTATTGTCTTAATTTGGACCAATACACGAAAAATGGAAATGATAGAAGTCCCTGAGGCAATTTTAAAGCCTTTTTCACTCTATACGCTTCCAAAAGTTAGTAAATGGTCATTTTTAATTGATTTCAATTCATAGAAACAAAAATATAAGTTTATTAAGGATATTATGTGTTTTATTGTTTTAGTTTGGGCTGATACATGAAAGATGGAAAAAATAGAAGTCCCTAAGGCAACTCTAAAGCCTATTTGGCTCTATACGCTCCCAAAAGTGAGTAAATCGTCACTTTTCATTGATTTGAATTCATAGAAACAAAAATTTGGTCAATTAAGGATGTTATGTGTTTTATTGTGTTAATTTGGACCAATACATGAAAGATGGGAAAGATAGAAGTCCCTTAGGAACCTTTAAAGCCTTTTTGGCTCTATAAGCTCCTAAAAGTGAGTAAATGGTCACTTTTAATTGATTTTAATTCATAGAAACCAATATATAAGTTAATTAAGGATATTATTTGTTTTATTGTGTTAATTTGGACTAATACATAAAAGATGGAAAAGATAGAATTCCCTATGCAATTTTAAAGCCGTTTTGGATCAATACGCTCCCAAAAGTGAGTAAATGGTCAATTTCATTGATTTCAATTCATAGAAACCAAAAAATAAGTTTATTAAGGATGTTATGTGTTATAATGTGATAATTTGGACCAATACTTGAAAGATGGAAATAATATAAGTCCCTTGGGGGATATGAAAACATTTTTAGCTCTATACGCTCCTAAAAGTTCGTAAATGGTCACTTTTCATTGATTTCAATTCAAAGAAACCAAAATATAAGTTAATTATGGATGTTATGTAATTTATTGTGTTGATTTGGACAAATACATGAAAGAAGGGAAAGATAGAAGTCCCTTAGGAAATTTTAAAGGCTTTTTTTTCTCTATACGCTCCCAAAAGTGAGTAAATGGTCACTTTACATTGATTTAAATTCGTAGAAACCAAAATATAAGTTAATTAACACTAGGTGAAAAAAGTAGAATGGCACCGGTTCTTCAAAACCGGTGGTAAAAACATGGGTTAAAGTAGGCGTTTGTTTAGAAGAGGTTTTTGGCACCGGTTCGTTTCAAACTGGTGGGAAAAATGGTTTTTTCCACCGCTTTGAACCGAACCGGTGGCAAAAATATTTTTTTAAAAAAATACCCCTTATATTTTTCTAAACCCTACCCTACCTCATACTCGGCCTCCCTCCTCCTCTCTCTCTCCTGATCTCCTCTCCTCTCTTCTCTCTCCTCTCCTCTCCTCTCCTCTCTTTATTCTCTCTCCTCTTTCCTCTCCCTAAAAAAAACCCCCTTGTTCACCTAAACACCACCAAAGACGACCACTAACTCCACCACCAACTCCAACACCCAAGACCACGAACAACAACGAATCTAATCAAGATGGGTCTGATTTTTTAGGTTTAATTTTTCGATTTTTCTGGGTTTGTGTTTATTGGGTGTTTTTTTGGGTTTGATTTTGGATTTTAATTCGAATTTTATCTAGGTTTCATTAATTTATTCCAATCGATTTTCGGATTTCGATTTTCTTGGTTTATTGCATGTGTTTTTTTTTTCGATTTCGATTTCTGGATTTCGATTTCTGATTTTGATTTTCTGGATTTCTTTCATGTGTTTTTTTTCGATTTTCTAGATTTCAATCAAATTTATGGGTTCTTGCATGTGTTTGATTTTCATTTTTTTTCAATGTCTGGGGTTATATTTTGTCTGGGTTAATTATTTTTTTTCAATTTCGATTTCGAGGTTGAATTTTTTTCTGGGTTGATTTTTTTTTTTTCTAGGTTTCATTTTGATTTTTTTTTTGGATTTCAATTTGATTTTTTTTTTCCGATTTCTGGTTTATTATTTTTTTTTCTGGGTTTCAATTCAATTGTCATACATTTGAATTTATGGTTTGTTTTTTTGTTTTTTTTCTGGGTTTGAATTCCTGCTTTATTTTTCTGGGTTTGAATTTTTTGGAATGAATTTCTGGTTTTTTTTTTGTTTTTCAAAGCTGATTTATATTAATCTTGTTTTTTTTTTTAACTGGTGCAGGTACATCAATTTAGATCTTAAAAATTTAAATTGAAGAATCAAGATTCAAGAATATTGGTTTAGATGTGTAGGGTTTTTATTTATTTATATGTTGTAATTTATTGTAATTATTTTTATTATATATTGTAAAATTTGGATTATATTGATTGAAATTCGTCAGATTTAATTGAGATATTGATCGAGGGTAAAAGTAGGTCGTTGGGACAACTAACCCTAACCAAATTAAAAATTTATATTACCTAAACTTACACTAAACTAGTTAGTGGCAAGTAAAGGGTCGAACCCAAAAGGACTAAGTGTATTAATTTGTGCTAACTAGACTAGTAGGAAAGGTTGTGAGATAGAGAAAGATTAAACCAAACACTACTAAGAGCAATTAGCTAAAACTAGGGAAAGTGGAATCCAATCACATCAATGTATTAAACAACATCATACAAATAGCTGAAAATGACCTCGATTAGGAACATCAACCCATTTAACTCACTCTCGCACAATTAAGCATGTTAATTATCCTACTAAACTAATTCACTCTCGTGCAACTAGCCTAGCAAAGGTATGGAAGAATTTAGGGCTCTCAACCAACTCACTCTCGCACAATTGATTGAAAGCACAATTAAGAGCATAGAATCGATTAGCTAAAAAGATTATAATCCATTAAAGCATTACCCATACACAATAATCAAGAAACAATTCCATACTAATCACAATCAATCATTCAATTCATTAATATAACCTTCATCCAATTCCCTAGAACAAGACCTAAGCTAACATAATGAAGAAAGACATGGAAAACAAGGCAAAATAAGAATAAAAACAAGATTAAACAAACAAACTAATTAATCTACTCAAATCAACAAACAAAAAGCAAAAACTAAGAATTAAGCAAACAAATAAACATGAGAGAAAGTTAGAAAATGTTCATTGAATAGATGAGAAGAAGTTCCACAAAGTTGTTTTTTCAACCTCTCAAAAACTCCATGGAAATCCAAGTTTTCTCTCTCTACAACTACTCCTAAAACTAGAGAGAGAAAAATCCTAATCTAACCCTAACAAAGAGAAAATATAGGCTAAACTAATCTAATCTATCTAAAATAAAAAAAATATCGATTGAAAGTTGTGAGAAAATAACCCCAAAGGGGTATTTATAATACAAGTTAAATAAAAATAAAATAAAAATAAAATAAAACTAATTCAAAACTAAATTCAAAAACTAAACTAAAATAAAATAAAAGAAAATGAAAAGGAAAAAGAAAAAGAAACCCCCAAAATTCCCACCAAACCCATCAGACCCACGAAATCCCACCATCTTCTCCCTTCCTTTGCTACTCTCATTCACCATCGTCAATCAGCAAAAAATCATCATAATCACCACCGTAAATCAACATCATCATCATCTAGCATCACCAGATTCTCGGCTGTCCAATTTTCATAAAAATCACGTGAAAAGCTCGTGATTGACCCACAATTGCGCGCCCGCACAAAAGTCGCGCAAAGCTACTGCCTCAACTCTGACTTTGGACTCCGATTTGTGCGCTTTCTGACAGGGCTGCGCAGCCGCGAATTGGCTACTCTGTGAGTTTGGGTGTTGGGCAAATTGCGGCTGCAATTGTTGTTGTTGTTTTGGTGGCTGACGGTGGTCTTAATTGGTGGCTGACGGAGGTAGATTGGAGGTGAGTTCAGGTGGTTGTTGATGGTGGTTTGCTGTTGTGAGTTGAGGGGTTTAATTTGTGAGTGGTTTGGTGGTGATTTGGGTGGTTGTTGTTGTTGCGTGAAGTGAGGGAGCAGGGGAATCGGTTGTTGCGGTGGTGTTGGTGTTGGTTGATACGGGTTTTGGTGGACGGTGGTTTGGGTGGCTGATATTGGTGGTTGATTTGAGTTTCGGGGTGTTGGTGGTGATTTGGTATTGTGAGTGATGTTGATTTGCTGCTATTGTTGTTGGTGAATTGGGGAAGCAGGGGACTGTGTGGTGTAGGATGGCTGTTTTGCGAGTTACGAGTTGGCTGGGATTGGTGGGTGCGTTTGATGGTGATTTTGGTGGCTGGTGGAAGGTGCGGTTTATGAGCAGGGGAGCTACTCTGGTGGTTGTTTGGTGTGTGGAAGAGGTGGATCAGTGGTGGAGCTGGTGGCTGCTGTTTTGTGTGTGGAAGTGGTGGAGCAGGGGAGCTTAGTTGTGGCTGTGATAGGTGGGTGCTGGTGGCTTAGAGCATGTTGTTTGACTCAATTCTCGGACCTTGAACCCGATCGACTAAGGACCCGAAATCACCTACAACCAAAAACAACACGAGGGGATTTTTAAAAAATAAAATAAATAAAATAAGATAAATAAAGTAAAATAAAATGCTAAAACTAAATAAATAATAAAATTAAATGAAATAACATAAAATAAAGAAAACAAACTAGAAACTAAAAGAAAAATAAATAAAAAGAGAGAAAATAGGAATTAATAAAACTAAGTTAATCTAATTTAAACTAAAAACTACAAAATACTCAAATAAAAAGATAAAAGACGAGAATAAGCAAAATAATAGAAATAAAGGATAAAATGAGCTTAATTATTGAAATAAGCCGGAAAAGTATTCAATAAACACCCCTAAAAGTGACATAAAAGTCAGTTATCAAACTCCCCCAAGCTAACCTTTTGCTCGTCCTCGAGCAAATTAACATGAAACACGGGAGAAGGAGAGTGATTTATTCAAGCAAATCTAAGACACTAAAGGAGACAAGAATGTACACTAACTCACTTTTGTAGGAATCACGGTCAATTTTAACAGCTAAAGACAAGCCCTTTAAACCCCTAGAACGCCCTAGAGGACGAGTGTGCTCTCGTGAGGGTGTCCTAAAAGTTTAACCCACAACTCTAAACAAAAACCAAGGCAAGGCAATAAAAAGAAAAGAAAAAGAAACATAAAAAGAGAAAGGAAACAAAAAGTTCATATTTGGACGAGAGATAGGAACAAGCACCAATGAATGCAAACCTTTCTAAATAGACAAATGTACGCACGTTCCAAGATGTCAATAGTTGATTGAAACATAACATATGCTAAGCATAGAGAACTAATGGGGACACAATCCACCCTAGCCCCAACCAACCGGGCTGTGTTCTCTCCACTAGCTTCAAATCAACCCATAAGCTAGTTTCTCATGATTCCACGAAGGAACCGGAAAAAAAAGTAAAGAAATGAAAAACTTTGAGAAGGTAATCCCGACATCTCAACTATGCATACTCTCTCCATAGGTTTGAAGTCTATCTCCCTCCACATTTCTTTGACCTAACCCCACTAAAGTCTAAGGGTCTTTTATTGGGTTGTAACGTAAGGCTAAGGGTTAAGGCGGGGTAAAAATTTGAAAATTTTGGTGATATTTCCTAAGTGAAGCAAAAGAGTGGCCTACTCTAAAAAACAAACTCAAGAAGTCACAAAATATCAAACAAAAATACCAATAATGTCATCTCCCCCAAGCTTATTCAACACTAACACAATTAGGGGTGTACAAAAATTGGCTCGGACCTGAAACCGGACCTGAACTGACCTGAACTGGACCGGACCTGACCCGGACCTGTTGATTCAGGTACGGTCCCGGTTCTTAAAAATCCAGGTTCCCGGTCCCGGTCCGGACCCGGTCCAAACCCGGGGTTTTCAGGTCCGGACCTGAAACCCGGGAAAATCGTAATTAAAAAAAAAAAAAAAAAAAAAAAAAAAGAAGAAAACCAAACTCTGAAAAATTGAAACTGAGTTTTCGTGGACTTATTTGTATTTTCGGTGGACTCATTTGTATTTTTGGTGTTTGAGAATCGGGACTTTATAGACTTTATGTAGTTTTGTAATTGATAATTTTGGTTTGTATGTAATTATTAAATTATGCAACAGGTCTAAAAATCACAAAACAGGTCCATATGCAGGTCCAACAGGTTTTGTATTAAAAAAAAACGAAAAAGACACAAAACAGGTCCATTCAGGTCCAAACCCGGACCGGACCTGATTTTTCAGGTCTGGCCCGGAACCGGACCTGTTAATTCAGGTCCGGTCCCCGGTCCTCATAATTACCCAATTCAGGTCCCCGGTCCAAACAGGTCCGGTCCAGGTCCGGTCCGGTTTTGGACCGGTGTACACCCCTAAACACAATATATACCAAAAACGAAGTAATGCTCCCCCCCAAGCTTGAACGAAGCATTGTCCTCAATGCTTAAACTAGGGAAGAAAACGAAACCAAACTAATATATTTTTGTGTTTTTTTTTATATAGAAAATATTTGATGTCCTTGCCTTTTTTTTTTAAACTATGGACGACTTTTTCTTGAAATTTCATTTGATTTTCTTGAATTGCATTTTTCTTCTCAAACTTTTTTGCATTTTCTTTTGAAGCTCAACTTTCAATACCGTACTTAAACCAATTCACAAAATGTCTTGTTACATTTCAACACTCTCAAAACTCAAACCTCCACTACAACAAATTGACCTTTGTGCCACGAGTAAAATCGTGGCACAAGTGTAAAATTCCCGTTGCTATGTAATTTAGCCACGGGAATTTTAAAATTTATTCCCGTGGCACAAGAGGTCGTGGCTAGGAATTTGCCACGGGAAAATGGATGTCGTGGCAAATTTTAATTTTTATGTCACGGGTATTCACGTAGCAAATAAATTCACTTGCCACGTATATTAACGTGGCTAATAATTCATTTGCAACAAATTCCACCGTGGCTAATAAGCATTGTTCTGTCAAATATTATCGTAGCCAATAAGCTTGTTTGCCACAATATCAGCGTGGCTAATAAGCTTGTTTTCCACAGATATTATAGTGGCTTGCTTTTTTTTTTTTTGAAAAAAGAAATATTATAGTGGCTAATATATTATATTTTGCAATTTTCCACCCAAATTGACTAACAGACATAGTACATATAAACACATAAATCTTACATATTTTCATTAATAACTTGTAAATTACACTTTTCAAGTTTTATCAAAAAAATAAAAAATACAAATAGTCAATAAGAATACACTATAATTGGAGCAGAAACAATCAGCAAAGCAGAAGCAATCTCCAGCAAAGAGCAGCAGCAAGTGTCTAACTACATCAGTGGAAAACCCTGAAGCTTCTTAAACACCTTGCTTTCTCCGACCAGCACACTACACATCACGAACTTCTTTAAATCAGCCAGCAACCACTTTTTTCTTTCTGATATTTTGTCATTATAAGTCTAAAAATTAGCTCACTGCAATTTTGAAGAAGCATATACTACGACTAGCGTAGTACTAAAAATAAGTATGAGCCAATGTAATAGAGTTTTGCTCAAGGAGCATATAACTCACTAAGAAAGAAAGTCCAAAGTACACTTCTATACAAAAAATATTGGCTTGAGCTTGAGCTGCTCCAAAGCGATTTTCACAAGTACACTGGTATGACTAGTGTTGACTTTACAATAATAAGAGACAGAACTAATGATATATTGTAAAGAAATAGCCTTTTTATACCCTAAATTCAACCCTGATTTGACACGAACCAGGCATTCTTACCCATATTCCTAAAAGTTTGTTACATCGAAAACAAATAAAACATTAGAGTATACTGTAGAATTGCACCTCAGTAAAACATCCACGGTATATGAAAATGTAGAGATAAACTATTGTTCAAAAGTTAAAAGTCTCGGAAAGTAAATAAGAGAAGCTATATGAGCACTTTGAACTCATGCACAATTCTGTTGCAGTTCAGGATATTTTTGAGACAAACACCAAGTAAATGCTGAAAAAAAAAACATCAACCCAAGAACCATTAAAACCCACATAATTTCACCTTAAAACAATGTACACACATATTAATCTAGAAAAATTACGCCAAAACTCACAAATTTATTGAAACGTACGAAAATTCAGCATCAAAAACACAACGAAATCATGTAAGTATAGTCTGAAGGAACATTGAGGTAGAGCCAGCAAACGTGAAACTTTTCAAGCTAAGAGAACCCCGTTTTTCATGATAACAAGAGCTAGAAAGCATGGAATTAGGGTTAACATGTAAGCGGTTTTGTCTTGGGTGGTTCAGTGGTCGACGCCCAGTTTGTATTTTTAAATCTGGGAACCAAAGAAGAACAAAGTCAACTTGCTAGCTTCCTAACTGTACAAACAACACAAGATAGTCGAAGAAATAATGAAGATATATTATATGAGAAACTAAGAAATACTTTAGTGAGAAACGATATGATGCAGATAGTATACAAAAAGAGTAATATTGCAGGTCCAATTAAACATTGTCAGATTCACAACTCCTTTGTTGATACCTTTGATTTCAAAACTTGTAAGGCCTGCTCCAATCCATTTCTATTTCGGCCCTACAGACTAGAGGTAAAATACACTTAGAACCCTAAAAAGAAGAGTAGAAATTAATAGACAATCATACTGACAAGTGACAACTCATATGCAATACTCTCAAGAGTTAAAGCATCTGAGCTACAGCTTCCAAACTTGTAGATAATAATGGAACGACAATTGTGGAGCTAAAAGAGCTTACTCTCCATTGATAGAGTTCAGAAGCTCAAAGCCAGTTTGTCTAAGACGAAATTAGATCCCAAACAAAACAGTAGCAGAATTAATATTGAATAAAATTTTAAATAGATATGCAGAACATCATTTAGTTCACAGATACAATCAGGCCTCACAATCTCACATAGTCACATTTGGACAAATTCACATATTTCAATAGGTACAAAAGCAAAATGACAAAAGGTTGACCATGCATGGATGTATATGGCTGTCTACACAATGGGCAGCTCCCTATTCTAAGAGATTAGTCAATAACTTAATATTATATAACTTTCTAATCATAAACAAATTCATCAACAAGATTGATTAAACTCCCGTTCAGTAGGATAATTATACTTCGTATAAGATTCATATAGGGAGAAGGAATTTTCACATATAACAGTTTGAAGATAAAGTATGACACCTAGGTTTCTATTTCTCCAAATAATAGAAGTATAATATCATCCCAAAAGCTTCATAAGTTCATAGGAAACAACTTATAGAAACAAAGTAGAGTTATTGTTAACTATCCCTACAACGACACAAGCCATTAATTAGAAACTTAGCATAACTTTCAGCAAATGGACCGCACTCTCCCATACAATTGAATAAAAATTGAACAAAAATTATAAGTTGGTGTTCAATATAGAAGACCTGATCATGTTGCAATTAGAGATAGGCACATGACTTAAGGATATCCAATGCCTCAGAGTGTCTCTCATAAGCTAAGTACCTGAAATTTCAGCAAACCAACTGCATAAACACAAATAAATAAAGGCAATAACCAAAATAAATACTAGTACAAGAAAATTACACAATGCACCGAAAAGGTAAGTCAATAAAATGACTTCAAAGAACTGTACCATAGATCTTGTATGTTCTAAGGCGGTGAGGCGTCCATCCTAATTCAATCCATTGTTCGTGACTATATTTTACATTCTCTGTTTTTACTTTTGCAATCCCAATTTAGTTTTGCTTATTATTCTAATTGTCAGTGGTTCATGTTATCATCAGATTTTGGATGAAAGGTTTTGAATTGTTGAAAGTGCCTGCAATAACAAAGTTGATTCCAAGTAATTGACTAAAATGCTGCAATTAATTTTAACTGAGTATTGTACAATTGTCTAATTTCAATTAAAAATCCAGGATGAACACTACAATCACAACAGTTTTTAGAATTTTAACCTAAATTCGCACCACTACCTAATTTTAATCAAAAACCTTTTCCATTAAACTACAATAACAACAACAATAAAAGTAGAGAGAAAAATCAAGCCTCTTCCTCCGTATTAAAAAATAATCGTTATCAATATCCGTATTAAAAAAATTGAATAAAAATCAGAAAGAAGAGAAAGAAAGTAGAAGTTATGGTGACCGTGAGGGCCGAAAATCCTTTGAGTGATGCTGATTCTTGGAGTCGCCCAAACCCTTGAAGGAGAAGTCAACCCTTGGAGCAGTGGCCAGCAGCCCTGACTTGCAGCCGGAAGGATAAAGGAGGAATCCTTGACTCGCGGCTGTAGGGAGGAAGAAGATCTTGACCGAGGGCGACCTAGCGGCAGCTCTTGAAGGCGGCGTCGCGAGAAGAGTCAGCGTCAAGAAGGAGAATTGACGAGGGAGAAGTGGATTATTGGTGTATTCAATAGGTGGTGTTTGACAAGTGGGAATTGAGGATGGGATTAATCCCAATTGAAAAAATAAGTCTCGTTTGTTTGGTGAAAATGAGAATAAAGTGTTTTGGGAATGAGATTATTTAAAGGTGAATTCCCACCATTTTATTTTTAAGGAGGGTAAGTAATAAATGGATGGGAATGGGAATAGGGGAAAAATGACATTTTTGTCATTAATGAAAAGAATGAAAAATTAATCTTAATAAGGGTATTTTTGTAAAATTGTTATTTATTCCCTATATATTCCCACCCACTATCCAAACAAGGTATTGCCATATTTTCATGTATTCCCATCAATTAATTCTCAATCTCATTCGCACCTTTTAATCCCCAAAATCTCATTTCCACAATCCAAACGCCCCGTGAATGCGCGTGAAAAACAAAGTGATAGTTTTAGACTTTTAGTTTTAGTTTTAGCGCTACAATTTCAAACAAAAACGAAGTAAATTAGTTTTATCGCCCCAGGTTTTTGTATAAACCGAGCCTTTTCTAATTTTCTTAAGAGTTTTCTAGTTCGGCACGAAAGTACGTCTATTTTGCTCCATTTTTCTAGAATTTGACGTAGTAAAAGATGTTTTTCCTAACATTTTTCCTACTACGAAAGCCCCAACAAAACGATATATATTTGGGCAATCTTAATTTTAAGAGTAATTTTGACTATTTATGATTAGAAAAGCCGCAAATAGGGAGCTGTAAATGACTTTTTATACCAGTTATGGGCTATAAAAATATCAAACAAGCAATTCACAAAGAGAAATCAAATTTATGAAAGCAATACACTTGTTGGCGTTATTATGAAGGAAAACAAAGCATATTTGTAAAGAAAATTTAAGCGTCTATTAGAAATAGATCATCTATATAAATATATTCGACCTCAAATTTGTACTCGTTATATTTAATATTCAAGTTTAAAAGAAAAAAAAAATCAAAGTAACATGGCTAATTCATGGTATCTAATTAAATTGTATGCATGTAAATATATATTCTTAGTAAAGTTATATTGTACGCTACAATTTACACTTTTTTATGACATGAGAAAATAATCTAGCTACATAAAATTTTTTGATAGCAAAACCTGTGGCATAAATGTGTGCTTGTCACAGGAAAAATTATTACCTATGACATTAATGCAAAGTTTACCACATAAAAAAAAATACTCATCGCACAATTGTAAAGTTTGCCACGGAAAAAGAGTTACCCGTGGTACAAAATTAAAGTTTGTCACAGGAAAAGAGCTACCCGTGACACAGATGTAAAGTTTGCCACGGGAAAAAAAACTACTTGTGGCACAAGTGATATAATTGTCACGGGAAAGAAAAATCCGTGGCATAAACTATTCTACATATATAGGTTTTGTATCATAATTCATTTTTCCCGTGGCTAAATGAAATATGCCACGAATTTTGAATTCCCGTGGCATAATTCGTGGCACAAGTGATGATTTGTTGTAGTGCTCACATGCCAATGCTTCACTAACTAAAAGGGTTGGTAAACATAGGCCATTAGGTTTGTAACGCGGTTTAAACAAGAGCGGGAAACATTAGGCTCAAATTGGTTAATAAGTAGGTCGATGCAAAATAGAAAACCAAATTTGTAACAAAATAAAAAGAAGATAAAGAAAATTGAAAAAGGTGCCCTTTTCCTCCCCTAGAGTGGCTCAGTCACGATCTTGGGAGCTAGAGGTCAAAGCAAGGATTAAGACATGCATAGTCAAGGATCCTAAATAGCCGCTCAACAAGGTGATGAAGGCTAGAACAAAAGAAGCTCACAAGAGATTATAACCAAACAAATACCAACCAAGGGTTTCAAATCCACTATAGAGAGCAACTCCATCTTACCACATTCCCGAGAACTAAGGCTTCAACCAATAACACTCTCAAACTGTGCATACATTTACCACTTAGGAAGAAAAACATTCAAGGATTCAAGTCCCAAAACAAAATGTCCAAAATAAGAACAAACAAAACACATTTTGCCAAAATTACCTTGAAAGTAAACAAAAATCTTTTTGGATTTTTCAAAATAAAAGAAAAGACATGGAAATGCATATACTCAAGTGCATGGCATAAATGAATCAACATCCCACTAAACATGATAGAATACCCTCCCTCCCAAGCTTGAGTGAAACAATATACTCAAATATAAACAAAATAATCCATGGGAGGGGAAAAGAAAGAAATCAATCCAACAAACTAACACAAGTCCAACGAGTCACCAACCATTAGAGAAAGAGCTAGGAAAGATATTACCGGATATTGGTGGGTGTAATTACCGCAAATGAACCAATTTAACCTTTCAAAGCCGATTTCCTCTTGAATTGAATCTCGATTTCCATATGCTAGCAAAAATAGGCGTCAAACTTCCTTGATTCTTGATCCAAACCAATGCATAAGTGTATATCAAGTCATGTACCTAGAAAAAAGCACACAAACATTTTCATGAGAGAAAATCTAATCTAAAAAGAAAAGAAAATGAAAGCAATAAAAACCTCGGGTTACTTCCCAAGAAAGGCTTGTTTAACGTCCAAGCGAGACCACTCTAGTAAATAATATTGCAACGAACGCAAGAGCTTATCAAATGCACTACTACACATTTCATATGATAACAAGTAGGAAAATGACAGGAGGAGGACGTGCAACAAGATTATTGCACGTAAGTGAGAAGGAAGATGCCAAAAGAAAGAAGAAAAATCAAAAGAAAAATCAAGAAAATAAGAAGAGAAAGAAGAAGAAAAATAAGGAAAAGAATAAAATGGCAAAACCTCCTCAAAATCTTTTTGGGTGGCATAATCACCCATTTCCTCAATAATAGGAGAATGAAAAGGAAGAGTCTCATCAAACAAGAGAAGTTCCTCAATAAGCTCTTTGACAAAAGAAGGGAGGAACATGGGATAGTAGAAGATGTGGTCAAATTTCCTTGAGAAAGGGACATGAGGAAGGGGAGGAGAAACAATGGTCTCACAAAGCCTCACATCATTAACGAGGGCATGAAAATCAATCATAGAATCCTCAAAAGAACACTCATGACTCAAATCTCCCTCAAACAAAAACTTTCTAATAGAAATAACCTCATCCTCCTTTCTATAACAACGATGAACAACAACTCCCTCAAGATCCTCAAAGCCTAGAGTCTCTAAACCATGCATGAAAGGATAAAGGTTTCTCTCAAACTCATCCCTTTCCCATGAAGCATTGCCAATGAACTCTCTCAAAAGGCTTTAATGTTTTGTTACACCTTCAATGAACATACTAGCCATAACCTCAAATGAATCCAAAGACTCATGGATAAAAGGGTCACCAACATGCAAGGTGGATTCATAAAGATAGGGAAGGGGGTTGGAATCCTCAAAATCGACATTTTCTTCATTCACAACCCTTCCACCATCACTCAAGGGACTCTCAATCTCTCTTGATTTCTCAAACTCACCATTATCATCCTCATGAACTCCCTCATTCAAACATGAAGATGGCTCACTCACATCCTCACCAAGGGAAGCTCTCAAAGGGGGTGAATAAGGGGAAGGATGGCATTCAAGCTCAAATGGGGAATTAAAAGGATCAAAATCCTCAAAAATTCTTTCATCACAAGAAAATCTCCCCTCACCTTCACACCCTTGCCCTACATCATCCTCAACAACACTCTCACACTCCAAGTGAGGTTCCTCACGTCCATCTAAATCAAACATAGCACTCATCACTTGGGCAAGCCACACTTCTCTCAATTTTTGTTCCTCTTGAAGATCTTGGAGTTGTTGGGTGAGATACTGCATTTGAGAGAGAATTTGGGCATCAATGTTATTAGGTTGAGGTTCATGATCAAAGTCAAATTGCACATCATCAAAATTAGCACAAACCTCATCAAAATGAGCATAAGGGGGAAAGGTGTCAATTGGCATACTTGGATCATCACAAGGCACATAAGAAGTATCAAGAGAATTCATGCAAAAATTAAAAGAATCTTGGCATTAAGAATCAAAACAAGAAACATGAGATTCTCTATCTAAAGAATCCCTAGCAAGCCATGTGAAGAAATCCCAAGCATCATGCATAGACAAATGACAAAATCTACCATTATTCATGTCATCAACCATTCCCCTAGTATACTCATTCATGCCCCAATAAGCTATACCACAAGCATCACTAATAGAACACACATGGTAACTAAGGAAACCATCTAGTATTTCAAAGTAAGCATAGAAGGGTTCACCATCAAATTGAGGAAAATATAAGCATGCCATTTTTATATAAAGGACAAAGAAAAGCAAACAAAAATCAAATAATATACAAGAACCTATCTAATCTAATCAACACAAACTAATGAACGCCTTAGTCCCTGGAAACGGCGCCAAAATTTTATCGAGGGTAAAAGTAGGTCGTTGAGACTACTAACCCTAACCAAATTAAAAATTTATATTACCTAAACTTACACTAAACTAGTTAGTGGCAAGTAAAGGGTCGAACCCAAAAGGACTAAGTGTATTAATTTGTGCTAACTAGACTAGTAGGAAAGGTTGTGAGATAGAGAGAGATTAAACCAAACACTACTAAGAGCAATTAGCTAAAACTAGGGAAAGTGGAATCCAATCACATCAATGTATTAAACAACATCATACAAATAGCTGAAAATGACCTCGATTAGGAACATCAACACATTTAACTCACTCTCGCACAATTAAGCATGTTAATTATCCTACTAAACTAATTCACTCTCGTGCAACTAGCCTAGCAAAGGTATGGAATAATTTAGGGCTCTCAACCAACTCACTCTTGCATAATTGATTGAAAGCACAATTAAGAGCATAGAATATATTAGCTAGAAAGATTCTAATCCATAAAAGCATTACCCACACACAATAATCAAGAAACAATTCCATACTAATCACAATCAATCATTCAATTCATTAATATAACCTTCATCCAATTCCCTAGAACAAGACCTAAGCTAACATAATGAAGAAAGACATTTGGAAAATAAGGAAAAATAAGAATAAAAACAAGATTAAACAAACAAAACAATTAATCTACTCAAATCAACAAACAAAAAGCAAAAACTAAGAATTAAGCAAACAAATAAAGATGAGAGAAAGTTAGAAAATGCTCATTGAATAGATGAGAAGAAGTTCCACAAAGTTGCTTCTTCAACCTCTCAAAATCTCCATGGAAATCCAAGCTTTCTCTCTCTTCAACTACTCCTAAAACTAGAGAGAGAAAATCCAAATCTAACCCTAAGAGAGAGAAAATATAGGCTAAACTAATCTAATCTATCTAAAATAAAAAATGTTGATTGAAAGTTAT